TAATGCAGTGCTCAAAGAGCCTCTTTCTATGCTTCAGTTAACCCAGCTGCCAAATATTTGTCTGCCTGTCAAATGAAAAGCCTTAAAACCAGTTAAAGGAGGAAAATGGAACAAAAAAAGTCTACTGGCGCCTGTCCCAGTCTGCCATCAGCTAAGGATGCCATGGGACAATTTGATAGTAGAGGCACCATCCGCCCCTGGACTTCTCCGAGCATGAGGCTGAGTTTCACTCTCTACCCAGCCTGAAGTTCAATAGCCTGAGTGTTCAGCAGAGCAGGGAGGTGATTGCATTTGCCTTTGCAGGGCACTTGGGATAATAGGGTAATTCATAACTTAATAAATATTCTACTGCACATGTGCCAGGCTACAAAGAGCAAAGTAGGCTGCAAATTGGAAACGTAAATGTCCAGCTCTTTTTAAGTTACTCCCCTCAAAAGGGTGGAAGGAAAACCAGTTTTATTTTCAAGCCATGTATTTTTCTCAACCGCTTACTTCAAAAATGGTGAAAGGGTTTTGATTCAAATAGGGTACAAGTGAAGCTGGCCCCAGAGACAAGTATAGAAAGTTGCACCTGAATTAGAGATAGTAAAAAAGCTGAGTGTCAATATGGGAACTGAGGCTGGGGAGGCTGGATTTTTTTGAATAGTATATATTATATAGTACAGTAAGTTTAGAGCTATATTGTACCCTTGGTCACATCCTTTTTCTCTCTTATCTAAGTGTCATTAAAATGGTTTGCAGAAAACACAAAAGCTACACATAAAGCTTTTGAAGGAATGTATCATTGCACTGACATGCCAGTAGATGAATGTCACCTGAATTTCTCTTTGTAGAAAGTGACGGAAATTTTCCAGACCTCCCTTAAAATTGGCAATCCTTGCATAGCTCTTGGAAGTGAAATCATTACTATTAGATATTTTCTAATTTAAAGGGGAGAAAAAAAAATATATTCTTAAGATTTAATTAATCATTTCTGTCAACAGCTGACTTTCAGAGGACGTAAATGTCTTTAAATTTTTTAAAAAACATTTTCACGCTTGCATAGTTCATTTCAGAAATCATATACTAAATTGCAAACAGCATTTGAAAAACTTTCCTAATCATAAAAATTAGCACTACCTGAGCAACCATTGCAAGGAGAGTATGAAAGAGTCATTTGCACAGGGAGATGAGGGAGGTGGCTGGAGGAGGCAGTGAGACAAGACAGAAAGAGGGAGAGGGGAGATACCCCCAAAAGTGACTCTATTTGCTACAGGCCTTTCAATCAGTGAAGCTCTCATTGAAACTTAAGTTTATGCTAGCATGTGAATTTCTGTGTTATATGCTAGAGCTACCTGTCCACAGGACTGTCAGGACCCCATATGATTTAAGCTAAGGGTCTTGAATGAGTGCTTAAAATTCGACAAGGCCACTGATTCAGCTCAGCACTCACCCATTACCACCAGTTTGTAGTAGTCTCTTGTTTAGTTAAAAGAAGCATAGCCTTCTCCTCACGCCCAGCTCCCCCAAAACCCAACTGTCCTGGCCCATCAAAAGAAAAAACTGGCTCATTTTAAATGCTCTGCAAACCACTACCAGCCCCCAAACAGTCTGTGAAGTTTTTTCTTTTTTTTCTTGATGATTGCACTATGTGCTAATTGTGATGATGATTAGTGCTATACTTTAACACAAAGATTTAGTAATGTATACTACTACACAGGAAATGGTGGATTCTTCATTGGAAAAGAAATTTTTTACATACATAAGATTTTAAAAGTTAAAAGCTCAGTTTTCAGTATCAAAGGTGTACTGTTTATGTTTTGGATTTTTGTTTGGTTGTTTGGGGTTTTTTTTTCCCCTGGAAAGAGGAGAATCAGTCCCTTGGTATTAGCATAAGCGTTTGTGCCTTTTTTTGTTTGTGCCAGAATGAAGTGATTGTCTCTACCTCACACGAGGAACGTTTCGTAAGTGTGTATGAGAAGCAGGTCTTCCTCTGAACATACAAGGGGTGCTCGAAAAGGAACTATACTGGCTGCAAGGGGGCAGGAAGTACCTGCTGGGTGCTCTCAGAAGCATCTTTCAACAGTTATAATTATTGAAAGATTATTTTGTAATAGACGTTATTTTATACTTAAAAGCAAAATATGAGATCATAATGCTGAAAAAATTACACGTATTAATACTTCTGGAAATTTTTTAAGGGTACATTGCTACCATACTCAAAACCACCTTCTATGTATACCACAATAATTAGTTTTATTTGCCTAAAACTTGACTGCTTGGCCACAACGCTCTCAGGTGCTAATACTATATTTTCCCTAAGTTTTAAACCAGTAGACAATACCGCTCCCCTTGATCTGTGTCTGGAAAACCTATTGCTAGTTCTCACTGTGCACGGAGGTAGTATGAATGTTGGGAGTGCAATCATCTGCATCTACATATAGTTGTTCTTACAACATTTAAGTGATTGTTGCAGGGGAAAAAGACTTTTCCATTTTATATTATTTCCTGGGAGACTAACCAAACTATACTCCATATTTGTAGCAATGATGCTTTATTGACTGGTTTGAAAGGACATGCACAAGCCCTGTTTTCATGACAAGTAGGAACTTCTGCTGTATATTTAGGTGAAAGATAAGTTTAGCAGACTTGCTGTACTTTCCTGTAAATTGTTCTCTTAAACAAAACCGATGGGTCTTCTATAAAATGACGTTACTGACTCTATGGTTGTTGTTCCTGACCCCCTGCTGCAACCTTATAATTTCTATGTAGTATGCTGCAGCTGCTGCTTTGCCACATTAGCTTTTTAGAGAAGCTAGCAAGTGCTTTGAAACCAAAACTTCTTAATATTTGATGCCTCTTGGATCACTTTCATGTTACATTGTGGATCCGACCAGCTGTTCTGAACAATCACAGTGTAATGATTTCCTCGGTGGCTAATAATTCCTGTTTCTAAAGCACATCTTTAACACCACAGTATCTCCTTTAGTTCCAGGTCCCAAGTTTTATGTTATTATTCCTGTTTCTGTCAGGTTTTGAGTAATTTACTTGGCTACTTCACAGAGGGTCAGGTTCACAACAGAAGCATTTCTCAATTGGCTTTAGTCTTTCTTTATAGATGCCAGGGTTGGGAAGGGCATCTCTTTACAAGTCCCACAGAAGTCAGTCTGACACCTGGATGTAATCTAGATAAAATTCTGAGATGCAACTAATATCCTGCTCTAATAGTTCTGTACCATCAAGATGGTGATTCCTCCTTGCTTTAAATCTCCTTCTCATCTAACGCAAGCATTTGCTAAATTTTGTGCTTGCAAACTTTCATCATCTGAAAACCAGTTGGATCAGTATCGCAAAGAGGAAACAGACCTTAAAGGGATGAGAAAAAACTTCTCACGAAAAAAGCCCAATGATGCAGTGGCGCATTCTATATCAAGAGAAGTTTTTCCTCTAGTTGTAAGGCAGTGTGAGGTCAGGATCATTCCTTAAATTATCCCTGCTCCATGATAGAGAGGCAGCACAAGCACCGTGAAACAATTCCCTCCTACTCTGTCTCGCCAAAGAATTAGATTAGATTAAACTGGTCTTTAGAAGAAAAAAAAAAGTGATCGGTGACTTCATAACTGAGCTCTAAAACAGTAGACAGAGGGTCATGGACAAAAATATATGTGGACTACGTATATTGGTAAAGATAATTGCTGTAAAATTTATCGTTTTCTTCCTCAAGGACAGACATCCAACCATGCAAACGCTCTGCTGCTGGTAGTTTCCCACAGTCTTTGCAGGTGGCAGACATAAGGAGGAAAAAGAACTCCAAAGTCTTTATTAGCACAGTTCTGTGAGAGTTCATACGCACCAGCATGTACCGCTAGTTCCTAAAAACTCTGAGGACAAAGCATCTGTAGAGAAGCCAGCAAGGTCAGTGTAGCAAAGCAACCTGTATCCTGGAAGCCACTTCAAATTCAGTTGTTAAAACAGCTTGCTGTGTTCAAATTGCCCCGTGGATATTAATTGAGTAGATGCAACTTTTCAACATGTTCTGCAAACTATTGCAGTCCTCTCGAACTGTATTTTTTCAAAGCAAACCAGAGCACAACAGTACCAAAGCAGTGCTGCCTCAAGTGGCCAAAGTTGGAGAGAGTTGTGTAATTTGGAATGCGTTTCTATACTTTTCCACACACGAAATCTTCCCAGGTGATTTCTAAAATGAAAACTGGATGCAAAACCACAGTTTTGTTTATGTGTCCTCTAGTTCCACTATCACTGGACTGATGCTGGGGACTTTTTTGTGCAGAAATTGCATGCCCCCCTCTTGGTAGTGTGGCCTGGATAACAATAGATGATACAGTAGGAATGTGAGTGTAAATAGTGTGTGTGCACAGAATACCCAAACTGGCATGTTCTGAGAGGATGTTTGCCCCAAACCTGATAACACTAAGAGGAAATTAGCAATAACAAAACTTGCTTAAAACAATGATCACCCAGATTAAACAGTAACCAGGGGATTAGATTACAGAGATCCTTTTGAGGAAAAAAATATTTGCAGCAACATTTGTCAACAGTAAAAGACCCCATCAAAACACAGTTGCTCTTTTTCTGAGACATGGATGTAGTTCATGTTTTCCATGGTCAATGAGAAATTTTTAAGGTAGAGAGCCTAGTATTTTGAGGGGGGTGTGTGTGTGTGCATTCTTATATGGTGAGTTTTATGGCAGAACTGGCATGAAAATTTATAATGGATAGGCTAGGTGAACTCCAGCTGCGAACTTGTGCTCATACACTGTGTGTTCTGTCCGTCTGCTACCTGCAGAGAACATTAGTTGTCAGTTAGCCACAACCCAGCTACACAAATCAATCTTTAAAAGGGAGATATTTTCAGTTCCAGTGGGTTTTATGGAAGTTTTAATAAACTGAGACACCCGTAGACACAGTAAATACAGATGTTCAAAACCTAGAGAGGACAAAGGGATATTAACAGCTAATATTGAACTGCTGAGCACAGAAATTGGAGGAGAGTTGTGAACATGATACAACAGAGTAACTTCAAGTTAACACAAGAGGATGTGCAGATACCTACAATTAAGACCAAGCATATGCTGAAGGCTTTCTTAAAAGCCTTGGAAACAGCTTTCATTGGATTGCTGCTGACTGATATAGATACTCCACCACCTACTGATGATTTCCTGAGAAGCCTCAAGTATGATCCTGCTTCAAAGGTATTTTATGACAAGAAGTTCAAACAAAATCTTTAAAAGTGTGGTCAGATCTCAAAGACCTCAGAGAAGGAAGTGATTTTCAAGTACATATAGATTATATTCCCAGAATATACTCCACCATTGAAAGCAAGAACTGGAGGCATTAGGCTGGCATAACCCAAGTAGCTTCCAGAGAGTTACCCATATCAAATAATCACTATGAAAAATGACAAAGCAGATTTAAGGAAGCTAGTGTGAGCCCTGCCAAAACCATCCACAGGCCACCTGTGTGAAATAAGTTAAACAGATCTACTCAAAAGAATAAATGGTGTTCACAAACCAATTTGCAAAGCTTGGGAATATGTCTGTCCACTGAATCACCCAAAGGGGCATTAGAGCTCAGCATTCACCAGAAGACAGCACAAGACTTTATTTCAAGAAGTTATTACAATACTTTAGAAGATGCTGAGTGACAGCAGGCACATGTTTGTTCAGTTAACTCTTCAGTAACTTAGGTAGACTCATACCAGGACCTACTCTTGAATTATGACCACCACAGAATTATGTTCTAGCGCTACAAGAACACGTAGATATCCTCAAAGATCCTTTTTGTCACACGAACAAAGGAAGACAGAAGGTTAATTGACATCTAGACTAAATGGATTTAGATTTGTAGAACACTGGGACATCTTTTCTGGATAAAACACTGTATAATTTATCCTCTCACAGAGGAAAAAAAAAAGAAACCAACCTTCCCAGGCAAAACTTAACAAGATTAAATGCAATGGCATTAGGTAGTTAAAGAATGAGGTGACCATTCATTCAGTAAAAAGTAAAGATTATCAGGCTAAAATTAAACAAATTACTACAAACCTGACAAGAACCTAACTCCTTATGTATACATATTTAATTAATAGGAACTGAATTACCAATCTGGAAGCATAAATTGAATATAAGTGGTTTTACTATAAGCTAGTGGAAAATATATGGATAATTAAATACTCTGTTCATTACTCAGTTCTGTTTCTGAAGAACTGGTCAAAGGAAGGGAGAAAAAAAAACCAGTAATCTATAAAAACCAAAATTAAGTCAGAAAGTGGCATAAATGCAGATGGAACAATATTCTGCATGATAAATGACAAAATTAGGTATTAAACTGTTTCTGCTACAGACTACTAAGTCATGTTAAAAGCATGTCTTGCTTCTTAATTGTTTATGTTCTTAATGACATGACATGAGGTAAACACTCCTGGAAGCTTCATCTGAAAAAGCATATGCCAACAGGATATTGTAAATCCAAACTCAATCTCTTAACTAAAGTTAGCATTAGCTGGAGAGAAAGATCTACATTAAAACCAGTATGTAACCAAAGAAAAAGCAGGCATAATACAAAATACGAATTAGAAGCTAAGAATGACAAAATATTGAGAAAGTAAGAAGCAAAAAAAAAAAAAAGTATTTATAATGGATATTTACTAATGTGAATAGCATGAAGGAGTTTTTTTGTAATAGTGTATTTCAGATAAAGCAGGAAATTCAGGTAAATTTCTGCTATACATTTGTGGAAAAAAACAACATATATCAGAAAATTCTGACAATAGCCTTAAACATAGGAACAGAAGTAAGGCGGTTTTTAAATCAGCAGCTCCAGATAGCTTGCATCCAAGAATTTTAAGAGCTGGCAAAGGAGACTTGTATGCTGTTAATGTGGATTTTCCATAAGCTTTGAGAAATCTGGGGAAGCTCAGGAAAAAAAAAAATCTCAAAGAAAGCTGAGGTGGTGCCAATACTAGAAAAATAAGTAAGAAAGGAACAAATTTAGGAACTTACTGTCAACCTTAATCCCAGGAAAAAAAAAAATCCAACTGACTCTTTGATATAGGAACAAGAAATAAGTGAGGAAATTCTACTTAAATGACACAGTTTAAATATATGGAAAATGTATCTTTTCAGACTGACTTTTTTGTTATGCAATTACAGCATACGTTTGATAGACAATAGGAACAGTCTTGATGAAACACATTTGTATGTTTACTTGTTCAGTAGGACACAGAAAACTGGCATAGTTGTGCACATGTAGTTTAAAACTAGGGTGACAGGTCTGTGTCATCAACAAGAATTCAGTCACACATACTTCTAATTGAATCTCACAGTAACCAGTTCTTGGCAGCAAGCTACTCAGTATTTTATCTGGAAATAAAAGTTTACTAAGAACATTCATAAAAGGTTCAAGTAAATAATGTAGCAAGACTGCTGATTGGGAACCATCTGGATTACTGGAAAATTAAGTGTTTCAGCATGATCAGTTTGAGGTCACATATTTAAGAGTGATGAATATAAAACACTTATAGATAGAAAACTTCCTCAGGAAGTAGTTGAAATAACTGATAACAGAGTAAACATGGGTTCCTTGTGCATAAGTGAGTTCAAAATTGTTAATGTAATTGTTAAATAGCTCAGAAAACAAACCACCAGAACCAAATGGTGCTTCTGTTGCAGGGAGGAAGAGGCTAGAGAAACAACTTTCAAAACAGATTTTTCAAGTAGTGATCTCCATTGACAAAAGACATTGCTGTATTTCAGAAAGCTGTAACAGGATGACAACTTCTATATCCATGTTTATTAGAATTGCTTGATCAGAATATAATAAAGAAGTTATTAGTAAACCAGAGATTTCACAAATCAAGTACAAATTAATCCAAGTGCAAATCAAGTCTAAAATTGAGCATCACAATGGAAAAACTGGCACACATAAGTTAACTCCACCACATAAGATTTAAAGACCATATGAAGACCTATAAACCATTTGGTTGGGGAAAAAAAATTGTATTAACTGCAGTGCCATAGCCAAAAGTAACTTCATATTAAAACACCAAGCAGGCTTTTTTGAGTAACTGTAGCAATAACTAAGCTTCCAAAGGTGGCAGTAGTTTTTCTAACTTTACACATTTATTAATATTAAACAAAATCTCAAACTAGAATTATTATTCTTGAAAGATAATCACAGTGACTTTACCATATAGGCCATCATTTCATAACATATGTTTCTCCATGTCAAGTCATGATGCAAGTAGAAACTGGCAAGCTCTCAGCAAAATACTTGTTTTGGGGCTAACAGTTATTAGTGTCCAGGCTAAATCAATGACTGTTCTCATTAAAAAGCATCCCTCCAGTGCCCTATATAAATAAATAACAGGACTTCGATGAGCAAAACGAGTGTAAGTTCTTAAATTTAAGAATGAATGAAATCAGCATTTTTACTTAAAAGCTTCTGTTCTCACACCTCCCCTTTCAGTAACGACTAAAAAGAAAAATAAGAAGGCTTATATGGGAATGGGCTCGCTATCACCCGAAGCCATAAAGACTTGCTCGTATACCAAGTGCTGGTACTTCCCCCAGCAGAAAGACCAAGTCTACCGGTAAAGAATACTAGGAGCGCAAGATGCCCACGGGGCCCGCGAGGAAAGGGCGCCAGCCAGGCCCACGAACCGCTCCCCCGAAACACCGGCCCG